ACTGCCGTTCGGCTTTCCCCAATTAATCTACCTTTCTTTTGCCCTGAGGATGGGACCTGCTGCCCTGCTGCGCCCCCCCGGGGCCCAGGGCGAGCTGGAAAAGGGCTGCTGGAGGAGAAGGAGGAAAAGGTAAGTAACATTAACAGCGGCCATAATATCGATGGTCCAAATCGTTTGCAAATTTTAAGTACTAAGGTAACGTTTCTGCACCTGACCGGAGTAAGGACTGGGAGTAATTCACAGCTACTCGTCAACGCGAGCGCGTACGGACGGAAAATGCTGCAGGGTTTAGCTTTTTACAGCAATCGGCAAGCTTGCTGGTGGTGTTAGGGTGTCTTTACACAAGAAGCTTTGCCAACCAAACATAGCTCGCCGACAGCAGCCCCCAAATTTGCCGTGTAACAACAGTGCTTTGCGCGCCTCCGAGGGTCGTTCCTCCGGGCGGGCTGCGTCTCACACGCCGGCGGCAGGCGGGAATCCGGGGATAAGGTGGGAAGGGAGGGGACGAGCCCGTGCAGTTTCCCAGTGAGCGTGCAAGGAAAGGCCTACCTTGCTGTATGCATGAAGAAAAGTTACCTTTTTCGCCCGAAAATTCTCTCACTGACACGGGCAGAAGAGTGAAAGGAAGATCAGGAACAGCCTTACATGACTGATTGAAGAGTCTTAGGGGTTCTTTGCGAGGGTGATTGCATAACTTTTACTGGTTTGATTCACGCTCCCTTGAGGCTGTCAAGGTGGGGACTAAGGCAACGAGGGGCGAGTTGTGTGGAGAAACTCGCTACACCACCTGGTTATTCAGACAGCTTGTCAATCAATTTTCAAGGAATTAAATGAGTTTCCTTTCCTTCTCCCTTCAGAAGAAGGTTAGAGACTAAGGCAACTTCCCCTGTACTGGCTCAGGATACAAACAGTTGTTCGGTCAGAACTAGCCCTATAGCACATAGTTCCTTTTCCATGTACATTCTTCTGTCACATCAGTATGCCTGGTAATTTCCTGTGTTTATCAAGCCCTGGAGGATGTTAAAGAGGACAGTCAACCAGAAACATTTTTGCCTTTTTCCAAAAATGATACAAGTTATGAGACCACAAACTCACTCTTCTGCATTAGTTTCTGCTGCAGAACTGCATAGCAGAAATTAAAACCGAAGGGTCAACGTTTGCAAAGTTACTGCAATGGTAAAAATAAAGTGGCATTTTTCTCCTATATGTTTAGGTTAGGAAATAAC